ACACAGAACAGACCTGGGATCCTGAACTGGTTTAATTTACATAACAAGCCAACGAGTCTGACAAGTGGGTTACTGGTAAATTCACCAATCTCATTCCACACCACTGGATCCGTTGAATTTTTCATTGTCAATGTCGCTTCTGAACAACTCCGGCTTTTGGGGGCATTTTACTTGTGTTAAGTTTTTCTCAGTTGTCTCTAAGGGATTTTTTTTTTTTTTTTTTTGGTGGGCGGCTGCGGTGGGGGTAGTGGTAGAAGAACAGCATATAGTTGTCAAAAGCCTAGAGGGCCCAATGGTAATGTTCACTCTTTGGTTCATGTCAGGATGAATGAACATTTAACACGTCAGTCAAAAATTGTATCATAAATAAGTAAAAAAAATGTAAATAAGTTACTTCAGACTATAAGTCGAAGGACTGGCCAAACTATGAAACAAAGTGCGACTTATAGTCCAGAAAATACGGTAATTTGTTTTTGGTCGGCTCAGATTGAATGAATTTAAACCTAGCAGTTAATTTGTACCCCAAAACGTTTTGCAATTGGGTGTCATTGCTAATGAGGAAAATGGGTTGTCAGATTTATCTTATTTGTGTAGACAGCTGCAAATTACAGCTGAACCTAAAGGTGCTGGTTTTGTAGCAGTGGTCAGCATCCTCTCGGTTCATGACGATGTAAAACACGCTTCACTGTAAACAGAGCTTTGGTGTTCCAGCAGTTTCATGGCATGCTTCAGCCTTGGTGGGTCCAAGGTTGTTGCCAAGCATCTAAACCTAAATTAAATTTCTATTGATGGTTACAGATGAATATGGGTCAGCTCAATAAGTTCTGGTCGCAATGGGAAAAAAAACCCTATCAGCTGCAGTCAATCATGAACAGCAACGAGAAGTAATCGAGCCTTGCTCATGCCAATTAAAGTCATTTCCAAGCGTTCAGCACCACTTGTTAAAAGATTTAGGAGTTAATATGAGTCTTTATGTACAATATAATTTTAAGCCTGTTTGGATTGGAGAAAATTCACAATAAATTCCAACTTGTGCACCCAATTAAAGTTGTATGTTGGACAATCATTAAACTCTGGAAAAGGAACAGTTTGAATACAAAAGGATAAAAAGGTATAAACACAACTAATTGTAAATAAATTTACTCATTTTACATGTGACCTCTGT